TGGTAAGTCTGAGGGAGGAACAGGCATGGGGGAGGGAAGGGGCATGGCAGGGCAGATCGAGGCTCCCATGGTGAGAGAGGGAGTGGGGCAGGGGCAGGTGCTGCAGAGCCAGGGAGGTGAATGCAACCCTGGGCCTGGGAGCAGGATGGAACTGTGGGAGGCTTGTCCAGGGGGTGTAAAGCACATGCCACCTATGCTTCCCTCAGTGGTGCACATAATGGCAGAGACCCACCCCCCCTCCTAACTCCTGTGGATGAGCACTTACAGATCAATACCACTCCAGGCCCCAGGGTCCTATTCACCACCCTGGCTGGGCAGCGCCTGCCCCACTCCCTCCCTCACCATGGGGACCTTGATCTGCCCCACCACACCCCTTCCCTCCGCCCCCCTCCCATGCCTCTTCCTCCCACAGACTTACCAGCAGGATGCTGCTGTCCAAGCTGCCAGGTTGCATTCCTGCGAAGCAGTTATTGGATTGGTATTGGCCAATAAGGCTGGTTAATAATTGGCTATTGGTACTGGCCAAGAAAATCTTTAAATCAGTGCACCCCTAACACAGTTCCAACATCAAGGTGAAGGTACACAGGTTCCAAATGGGAGTGTGGAGGGACAAGATCCAAGAGCAGGGCCGGGGCTTGGGGCAGTATTCTTACCCACACTGGGAACTCCACTGTCCTATCTAAGCTGTTGCTACCAGTTTGCATGCTTTCCACCCCCCTAACCTTCTTGCTCTTAAAGCACCAGCTGCTGGGGGACTGTTTTGGTTCTCCCAGCATTGCAATGCTGCCATGGCATGGAATTCACAGAGATTGGGCAATTCCAACACCTCTCCTAACTTAGCACCTGAGACGGGTGTCACTCTCACCCATCCCTAGTTATGCTACTGGACAGAAAGAAGAGATTATTACTACAAGCTTCACACCAGCACAGCGAGCACCAACTTTTTTGTGAGATGGGCCACAAGTTGGCCCCACACTTTCCCTGAATTCCATTTGCATTCCTTTCCCCTATACAATCTATTGCTCTGCTTTCTAACCAAGATGCTGCTCTGCTTTCTGCTTCCCATCCTATACTCCCTGCCTGATCTGCTGCTCTGCTCCCTGCCCTATCTATTTTATGCAGGCTCAGGCTCGGGGGTGATCTGGTGGCTGCCTATAAGTTTATAAGGAGTGCTCACCAGTATCTGGGGGAACATGTGTTCACCAGAGCACCCCAAAGGATGACACGGTCGAACGGTCACAAACCCCTCCATGAACATTTCAGGCTGGACATAAGGAAGAACTTCTTTACTGTTCAAGCCCCCAAGGTCTGGAATAGACTGTCTCCACAGGTGGTTTAAGCACCTACTCTGAACACCTTCAAGAGACATTAGGATGCTTATCTTGATGGGATCCTATGACCCCTGCTGACCTCCTGCCCCTGGGGCAGGGGGCTGGACTCTTAAGATCTTCCAAGGTCCCTTCCAACCCTAATGTCTATGAAATCTATTAAATTTGTCACTGTGTTGTTTGTCCCCTCCCTAATCTGCCATGTGCCACACGTGAAACCAATCTGTTCCACCTGTGGCACATGTGTTGCAGGTTGGCCAGTCCTGCCCTAGCGGGTGCTATTTAGTTTAGGTAAGACATTACTAGAAAAAAACCAACAAATTCAAAGGAATTTGGCATACTGTAACAAAAAATGATCTGGGGTTTCAGGGACTGGTTTAAGTGATATGATTAAGAACTAAATATTCAAAGATTACTTTGTCAACTCTTACATGCAATGCATAGAAGCTCTCAATCAACTGAACAAATATAAAATACCATGCACAGAGGATTTAGAACCCTGGAAAAAGGTTAACAAAGAGAAATATATATATAAAAAAAATAAGTAAGTGCTCTGTCAGGAGAATATATTTCCCAACACAGGCTGCTGACAGACATGGGGTGGGGAAATTGAAATGACAAACCCTGCTCTCCCCACCAAAAAACCCAGAGCTTTACCAGAAGAGGAAGTGTGTTGTTTGACCCAGCTCCCCAGAATCTGTATAAATTGGATACTTCAGCAGGGCTTTTTGGCACTTTTATCTAAAGCCAATTCCATCAGTTTAGATAAAAACACCAAAAAGCCCTGCTGAAGTGTGCGACCTATACAGACATTGGACAAGCCAGGTCAAACTAATGCAGTGCCTCTTCTGGGCATGTGCTGCACTTGGCCTGTGGGCACACCAAGCTTAAAGTGATGGGGGGGTTTCACATCTCTAAGCAGCCACAGTGCCTACCAACAGAAACAAATGGAAGCCTTGTTTCACACTACAAAACTAGCACAAAAGATCTGCGGGGAGGGGTGGGGGGCAATGTCGCCAAGCAGAGAAATTGGCTAATGGGTCATTCTAGTATTCTGTGAGGTTCCTTGACAGTTAATGAAGCTACTAGTCCAGTTAAAACCTCTTTATTTTTTTCTTATATATTTTCATTTAGTATATTTAGCTTTTCCGCTTATTTTGCCAAAAATATTGAGAGAGAGGGTATATCAACAGGCAAATAAAACTGTGCGTGCAAACAAACAAACACACCAAAAAAAAAAAAAAATCAACGGAACTACAACTGGAGCAAGGTCCACAAGGGAAAGAGTTTGGGTCGATAAAACAAGATATTTTACTTTGGATTTTGGTTGTTTTCATGCAGTAACAGACTTAGGCACAGTGCTGGCAGAAGCCCAGCAATATTCCTCCCCAGAACTCTGCTGAGACTACATCTTCATCGTGATCAGAAACATCACTCTGCTATTTGTATCTTGGTTTCGCTTGAAGAGAGATTGCCAGTTTGGTTCATGTGTGCCACATGGCATGCCACTGTCATAGTCCCAAGAGAGGAACATGTAAACTCCAAGAATGAAAAAAGCATTTTTGCCTGTGACAAAGACAGGCATAAACATAGGTCTACAGCAACAAGATTCTCTGGCTGAGAAATTAAAATTAAATTGGATGCAATTTCACCCTACAGAAACCTTTGATCTTGGATTTTTGCCATGTTGTTCTCATGAAACAGAGCCAAGATATGAAAGTTTCTATTTTATTTTTTTGTAAATGTTTTTCCTGTCCTCAATCCCTATGTCTTAGGTAAAGATCCTGAACCTGAAGCTTTTAAATGTAGCAGTAGTAAAATAACTGACCTGTAGCAATGAGATTGCTATGAATACTCCTGCAACAATGTAGATGTTTCTTGGTAGCCAGGCTTCAAGAGCAGGGATACAACCCTTGGTGAAAATTAAGTTATCCCATTTATTTTTACTCTGAGCAGGAAAGACAAAGGGTAAATGTAAGCAAAAATGTAACATGGTCTCTAACAGCACATTGTTTCTGTGAGGCTAAAACTGATAGATCTAGTGTTTTTTAAAGGAATCCAAAAGAACTTAAGTCAGAGGCTGTAAACCATCATGCACTGTCTCAAGCTTTATGAATCTGTCCATTTTTTTAATGTTAAATTGGGTATGTAAAAGCTTCAGATAAGTATTCAAAAGTTTCAATATTTGTCTGAGATGTGCATCTTTCTTCCACCAGCACTACCTCACCTTCTTTACTCATCCTATGAAACAGACCCCACTCTCTCCCTGCTTCCTCCTCCAACTCCTTCATACAGTTATCATTCCTTAGCAATTTATAACTGTTACAGATTCTGTATACACATCTTTTAATTTCTCAGATTAAAAAAAGATAAGATACACGCTTTTTTGAAAAATAACAGCCATTAATTAGAACCATGAATGCTGTCGGCAGCAAATGCTCACCTGCATTCTGATGTCATATCCACACTGTGTATTCACAACCTTTTGCTGGAAAATAAGAAAGTTAAAACATTTATTCAATTCTATCAGCTCAAGTTCCCAGTAAGATTTTTTTTTCCAGGTGACTCGCACCCAAACTAAAATCAATACCAAGTAAAGGGAAACTTTTAAAGAATTTTATAAAAATAGCAAAGAATTGTCAGAAGATCAGCACGATCCTGACATGTGAAGTGTACAGATATGACTCCATTTCCTTTTAGGCTTCTTACAACCTTACAAACCTGTTGCTTGTGTCCCTCAGCATTAATCAAGGCTACCCAGCACCAGAGAATAATGCACTTGTACTGCCATTCTTCAAATACTACTTAAAAGCCGTACACCATGCATGAACAAGCATCCAACTCCTCAACCACTATTTTCACATAAGCTTCCTGATTTCTGCTTTATGAGATGCTACATAGTGTTTCAGCCTATAACATCTGAATATTGTGGGCGACAGAAAACAAAATGTATTTATTTATATATACATATATATAAGCCTGGCTCTTGGCTGCGGGGGCTGCCTGTCCCTTTTTCAGGC